CTTTTTTTTTTTTTTGGTATGCAAATGTGAGAAACAGACTGTGGGCCGCCGGCCACATGACCAGGTATGTGTTGAAATGAGTAAAGCAGATATGGGAAGGCCCATTCACTGGACCTCTTCAGGGGCCCGGCCTTTTCTGTGGGCTGGCTTGAATGTCACATCAGGCTAAGCTATACTTTGTGCTTAGTGCTAATTAGCAAACGTTAGCATGCTAACACTTACTTTCTTGCTTTTGATTTTTTTTTTTTTTTTGCATCAGTATTTGGTGTAAATGTCTTTAATTCTGGCAAAGTAAAAGTACTCTGCTACTTTCATGGTTTTTATTGGAGGGCACAAATACATGTCCCCTGAAATCTACACCTATAGCCACTACAGCTTCCACCTGAGCAGAGGAAAAATCAAATGAAACTGTCACGATAATTTACTAAGCATATCCATGTTTCCCAGAGAATGAACCCTTCTGGACACCCTGTAAAGCTTTTTTTCTAGCATCTGGTAAAAGTGTCAACTTTTTACACAATATGTTGAAATGTAGTTGGCTTTTTATGAACCTTGTTCTGAAAATGCATCTGTATGATTTCAGCTACTCTCTGGCATTTACTCCAGCATTGATCTGAGGGCAAACTTCACATTTTTTACCCTATGTTTCGGGCATTGTTGCCTTGATTTGATAGAGAACAGAGAAGAGTTTGACAGGAAATGTTAGGGTTAAGAGAGAGGTGAATGATATGAAGCTAAGATCCCAAACTGGAGTTGAACTATGGTCGTTGCTGTTGTGCGATATGGATTTTTGGCCAATATGTTGCTCTGATGCTTTAAACTTTTTACATTTATTGGGAAGGTTCTTGAAATTGTAAAATCATCACTATATTATTGTTTTTAGGCATTTCATCTTGTTTGAATTTTTCTCCATTTTTTTTCTTTATCCTTTGAAAAACCATGATAGCCTCAATTGTTATTTGCTATAATCTTAAATTTGATGCCCCTTTCAGTAGATAATATATATTCAAATTCTTTTTAGTATTTTATTACATTTGCTCACATGTGTCTTTACTTATGCACTGTATAGACTTTTAGATTTACATACTGAATATGTGACATGATATGATAATATAAAAGGGTAAGATGTTATTCAGGATGCAATGCTGAGGTAGTGAGTACTCGTGATGAAACACTAGAGCTAGCTGTAATGTTGGACATACCAGCTGATACAGGGCTCCTGGGTAGGTGATGAGAATACCATGCACCTCAAGGTGCCTCTCCACCTTCCAACACCCATCTGCCTCTCTACACCACAGCAACCACTGGCAGCATTACATCAGTTTTTCCAACATAAAAACCTCTGACAGGGAGTCTTTATTGGGATTTTGAAGCTTTCAGCTGAAGAACTGGTGCCAGTATGAAGCACCCCAGTTGGTGTCACTTCCTGTCTGCGTCCTGTCTTAACTGTTAACAATTGAGGTGCAAGAGAGGAGAAAAGGTTACTGTTGAAGTTTAATTAAAAAGCCCACATACATTAAATGCTAAAGGTAAGATATGGAAGGCCAGTCCATTGTCATTCCTAGGTCATAAAGAACTGATACTTTGTTACACCCTTCGGTGTGTGATATTGAGGCACCCTTCAGCATCTTCACAAGAGACACTAGACTTTCACCAAACTCCAATTTGAATCCATCCATGGCAATACTTGACACTGAGACCAACTGATAGTATAAAGAGTGAGAAAGTCTGCATACTTGGATGGGTCAAACAAGCAATGACTTTCACCCAGAAGACCTCTGTTCATGTCCTGTTTGAAACTAAAAGTCAAATTTGTTTTAACATTATGTTATGCAGCCTAACTTACCTACCTAATTCCCATGTGAAACCAAAAGTCAATGTTGTTTCAATGTAACGTTACACAACTTAGAAACCTATGTCCCATGTGAAACCAAAACTCACTTAAATAACACACACCGCATCCAAAATCATCAACCATCCCACACCCAACCTCACAGAGCTCAACCACCACTCTGAGATGGAGATGAGCACGCTTCAACAAGAACATATAACGTTACCTAATTTATGTACGGTCATCACACATTCATGTCACTCATGTTTCGGGTTAAAATAAGTATTCTAAATACTTTAAAATTATGTAACATGATGTGAATACATTGTGTATTTTTTTTCTAAACCTAACAGCAACAGTTTCACAACATTAACCATGTGTTAATGTGTTTCAGCTTTGTGTCACATAGAGATGCTTAAAGGTGCCCTGTGCATTGTTTGAGATTCTGGGGTACATCTGTACCTGGGAATAATGGCTGGAATGCATGTTAGTAGAACAAGCATGAAGACTTAAGTTTCGGGATAGGTGGGATTTTTTTTTTTTTTTTTTACTAAAATATAATAGCTTTAGGGCTCTAAATACTGCAGATGCTGTAATCTGTGCACAAAGATTTGTTTAATCTCTCATCTGTTGTTTATATTTGAGCCACTCTAGGTGAGACTTCAGTAAATCACAATAATAAAAAAAAACTGTACTACACACGATTGTATATTAGATATTGGTCCAGTCACCTATGTCTTTAGACAACAGAGAAAAGAGGTCATATTGAGGTCTGACAGTTGAGGTCAGAAGGACTTTAAAACAAAGCAGATAAACATGGTAAATATTGGTCTACAAACTTATGAGGGTTAATGTGACGGTTAACTGTACGTCACATCAGGCCATCAACTTATCTTTATGGCCCATGACTGAAAACACTCATTCTTCAAATTATCTTTGTTTGTGTGGCTCTGACTGCAGTGCTCTGTGTTTTCTTGCCAAGTCATTTGAGGAAGAGGGAAGTATTATCCATTATGCCTCTTATCAGGGTCACATTATCATCATCATTATTATCACACATGTTATCATTAATAATTAACCAAAAGTTTCCGGATCTATCTAGGATGAACGCAGCTTCCTCTGAAACAAAGATGAGTTAAAGCAGGTCAAAACATCACACTCCAAAAGGTTATCACAGTGCTATGAATAGCTTTCCACATCAAGTATCCCACTTTAAAAATCAGCTCACGCAGTATTTCTGTTTGGCTTGAGATTATCATTTTTCCAGCACGCTGACCTTCACTGTCAACATGCGGCTTTTATGGTTATAGTCATGCTGAGTCTATTTTATGCATAATTGCATGCAGCCAAAATGACTCTTGGAAGATGATGACACGTTGTAAAAAACACCTGTTGTCACACACTCCCTATCACACACACCGCGTTGCTAACCCTGGACATAAAGATATGGTGCTGTGGATAGGATGCACCCATTTTCCCAATAAACGTTAAATTTAATCTGAAGTGCTGTCCTTGTCGTTTTTGTTTCTTTTTGCCAAGGAGATCAGCAAAAGCCTTTTGGAAAATACCCACTTGATTTTGTAACATCAGATCTCAAAAGCCCCATATGAAGTTTTGAATGGACTTTTGTAATGAGGAAAGTAAAGATTACAGAGAGCAAAGCTGATCCAATCTACATATGAGCATGTAAGTATTGTTTGAAGATGTACTTGAAAGATGTGAACTTCTCCTTTAAAGCAATACTTTTGATCATCTGAACAAGGACAGGAAGATAAATGTTAAATTTAAATAACTGGGCAAACTGGGGGAACTGCCCCAAGGCTTCAGTGACCAGAACTACAGCAAGTTTAAACTTAAGTTTGTCCCTTATGCGAAATATGTTCCTGAGCTGAGGGGTTCATTTAGGAACATTGCATAAAACCTCTAAGGTTTTCTCCTTGGCTAAGTGTTTATGTCATGTCGTCATCCTTTAATGTTACTTGACAGTAGTATTGTCAGTGTTAGCCAGCTTCTCCAAAATAAACAAGAAGAAGAATACAAAAAGAAATAGAAAGCCAAGCTGGACAGAAGATGAGAGAACAAACACGCACAAGCAGATGTGGCAAAAAGTAACAGACAAAATCAATACAAGAAATCTTGATGTGGAATGAACGGCAGAGGAAGTAATGAAGAAATATGAAAATATCTATACTTTCTAACAAGTTGAACATCACTAGTGTCCACTGGGTTTTCCCTGTCTTGAAAAATGTGCTTTGGTATCTCCTCCTCCTCTTTAATCACTTTAAATTCAGCCATTGATTTTATGTTCTGTAAATTATTTCACTTCAGGAAACTGGTTTTGATCCCTTACATTTTTCTGAGAGAAATGGTTACTAAGGATCTTCTAGCAATGCATAAGGGAATACTTAAGGGCAAACACTTAAAGATCAGCGGGTTTTTCCTTACAAAATCCTATGGAAATCCTTATGATAATTTTATGCAGCTCTTTTTTCTACGGGATACTTTTGCCATGAGACCCACTCGCAGCGTAATCCAGCCTCCCGGTCTCCCTTAGTAGCGGTAGCAGTAAGAAGTGTAGTCGAAGTACTATTAGTAGTAGCAGTTAAATTAAGTAAGCAGTAGGAATGTCTAGTGTATTTATACAGCACTTTCTGAGAGCAAAAATAGAAAAGCAGCAAAACAACATGACATTAACATAGATGGAATGCAAAAATAGAAAACCTTGTTTATCCCTGTTCATCACACCATTAACTTTTACCTGAAAACTCAAACTAATATTTACTCAAAATTATAAATTCTTTACTTTCATAATATTACATACTTTTGATAAATGTTGTAATTATACCACTGCATGTCTGGCAGTTAAGGGATCCCTATTTTTCTCTCTTATTTCAATGAAGGTTTTTTTTTTTTGTTCACTTTATCCTTATCCAGATAGAAGGTTGAAAAATTAAAAAATAATATATGTTGCTCAGATTGTAAAACCCTGTGAGACCATTGTGTGACTGACTCTGAATCTGGATCTGAAGTGATATCCAACCAGCAGGCTCTGCTCAGAGGCCCTACAGTGAATGACTCGATGATGCACTGTGCTATACTGTAGGTGGATGTCCCTCCATACAAAGCTCTGGTGTGAATTCCCTCTGTGCTGCCGGGGGAACGCTGTCCCCAGAGGCCCAAGAGACACTGTGCTCCCAGCATGACACCCCTGATTAGATGAAGTGACTCCAGGTGTGTGTTCAGGTGTGCTCTGACTGACCAGGTTCTCACTTCTTGTGTCTCTGATCTCAGCATGACTACTGACAGTGTAAGTTTTCTGTCTTTATTGTTGAATTCTTATTATCATATGATTACATTTTCATCTTATCTATAGTCTTCCTTATTGTAGCGAGGATTAATTACTGCATACTATTTGTTTGGTGGATTTTACTGAAGAAACCATGCATTCGATAATACAGAAAACAGATCCATGAGGGTTTTTTTCTCAGGAACACACTTTATGTGTGAGGCTGTTAAGTCATCCACTGTCCTTAGATCCATTCAAACAGTTGTTGAAAATCTGCTGAAGTGCTAGAGGGCTTCAAGACCTTTCAGTATAGCTGGTGAAAGTCTGAGCAACAACACTGTGGACCATCTGTAGGTGATAAAGTGATATTTGCAGCCCAAGTGGGAAGAAATAGAAAAATGAATAATCCATAGTGGATTGTCTTTACCCTAGTAAAAGTACCACTTCAGCTAGTAAGTAAAAGTCCTGCATTTAAAATCCTATTTATGTAGAAGTATTATCAACAAAATATAGGCTAATATATGAATTCAGTAAAATTACAACGCTCTGTATGCACAGCGCATTCTCCCATCACATATGCAGCCCACTGTACTGCACTGACTGAGCCTTTCATCTCAGCTTTTGATTACACAACTGGAGCATGGGTGGATCATGAGACAATAGCCCCCTGGGCACAGATATGCAAAGGGCCCCACAACCTCTCCTACATTGGAGCAAAACACACAGACTAGATCACTTTGTAGTCATAATGCATGTTTTTGTGATTTTGTGTCTGTTTGTGGTTGTTTGCCCATGTTTGTAGTTGTTTTGTGTCTCTTTGCAGGGCCTTTGAATCTCTTTGTGGTCTTTTTGTGTCTTTGTGGTCATTCTGAGTCTCTTCCTGGTCACTACGTGCTAATTTTAATGACATTTTGCAAGTGAAGGCCAGGGGCCCCCTGACACTTTGGGCCCTGAGGCCTGTGCCCGGTAGGCCTGTTCAGTAATCCACCCATGTACTGGAGTGAATTTATCTTGTATTTTTATGATATTGCAGTTAACCAGCAGATAGTAGCCTAAAGCAAATAACACAGTTCACGACTTGTTTACACCTCCCACTGGTTCTTGTAGCCAGCTGTTACCATGTGGGATGCAGCTTTACTGAGCGTGCTGTGAGGGTTTTACATTAATCTCTTTCTATCCATTCTTTATTGTAAAATATTTCTATTATTAATTGCTCCCTTCAAACCTCTAACCCTTTACCCATTAGTAAACTTGCTAGCTATCTACATCACCACATGGCCCATTTCACATTGACATATTTTATGGATATTCCATAAATAACATTCCAACAATAACAGTACAGAACAAATGATAAACTTTACAACTGACCCAAATACAACCTGTCCATTATCACCCTCATTTAAATCTAATGGGAAAAAAACTCTGTGCTATAGTTCATGTATGGACCGTTTCATTGCTATTCTGTTGCTAGGGCAACAACTTTGGTCCCTGTTTACTTCCTGTCAGCTTCTGCATTAACATACATTCAAACAGGAAATACAAAGGGACCCATTTAGAATGTTTATGTTGTCCAGTTTGAAACGGTCTATTAGTTATGTTTATGTTTTATGTGTATGTGTCAGATTCATTTATGATTATTACATCTTGTTGTTTTGTCATGTTTAGGAGATAAAAAAATTATTTGTAATAGAAAAGATATGAAATTCTAGAGGGGAGGTTTTCACCTTGAGCCCCTTTGGGTGTCTTACCTCTCCTGCTCCTCTCCTGTTCTTCATCACATCTTGTGTGCTAATAAGATTCAAATTCAAATTCCCAGCTGCAAATGTTATGCAAAATGACTAATTATGACAAGTTTTGAGCAATAATTTCCTGCAATTATTACATTCAGAGATGAGTTTTTCCGTTATTTGTGGGAACATTTATACTTTTTCTATACTTCTATATACTTTTTTTTTTTAATATGTTCTTTTATTTTCGATCATACATATTTAAAAGGCTTCCTTTTGAGAAAATCAGTGATTTCCTCTTCATTTTGCTCAGCTCTTTGGTTGTTTTAATTGTGTGCTTTTCTAATGCAGGATGAGGCTGTTTAGCAGAGTGAAGGTTCTGTGAATATAGCTTGTCTTCAGGTCTTCACTGTGCCCTGTTAGATTTCTTTGTATTTTATATCTCGAACAATAATCAAAACCTTAAAAATTTAGTTTTTTTTTTTTTTTTTTCAAATAATCAGCGATGACTAAAATGCTGAAATATAGGACTACTGTATATATTTTTGAATTTTTTTTTCTTGCACCCCTTAGATTAGAGAAGGACTTGTGACCCCTTGTGCGGCTTTGGTGACTCCCTGTGGGCCTCAGAACCCCCACGTTGGGAACCAGTGCACTAAAGGGCCGTTTACGTGATTGTGTGTTTGCATCAGCCACTGGAGTTTTCCCACAGGCTTGGCACACAGGAGAATTTTAGTTCTGCAATCTCGCTAGATGCCACTAAATCCTACATACTGGTCGTGTGTTCTGTGAAACAAGAAACCCTAAGGCATCCATTGGTACCAATCATGTCATGTTAGTTTGACAGGACAAGGGGCTTGAATAATGTTCTAAAGTTAGGCTAAATGTTGGCAAGGGAACAACTGGCATGACTGTTTTCAAAAGGGTCCCTTAAACTCTCATCTCAAGATATCTGAATGTAAATGTGTGGGTACCCATGAGTCTCCCCTAAACTTGAGAAGGCTTGTTCCCAGATAATGTTATGTTCCTTCCAATCATTGTACTCATTTAAATTAAGGCTGAATATTTGTCTTTTTGAAGAAAAGAACAACCAGCCTATTTGAAAAACAATGAATCTCCTTACATGTATAGATACAGATACATAACACATTAAAACAGGATTATTGTGCAATTTATGTTGACTGTACTGGTGTTAGTTTGTGCACATCAGATAATTAGTAATGTTAACAGTAAAATAAGAAAACAAAGTATATCAGTTGTGATTCCCTAACTCTCACATTGACATAGTTTTCAACTAGCCTACATAAACAGCATGATTGCATACCTGACATTCAGTTATAGCTTTTGCTTTTGGCATGCCACCCCAAGATTTTCAGTGGCCTTATTTGGCCACCCCTATGAAGAATTTCTGAGGGCACCACTGGCCATTGCTAGTTTTTGTCTGTCTAAAAACATTCTCTGGATTTCTATTAAAATGGAAAGTCACAGCTTCTGGTCTTCTCAAAGTTAAATACCATGAGTGTAACAGTGTCTGTGTCCCACTCTGTTTTTTTTATTTGTCAGACATTTTGACAATTTTTTAATTTATTGGCCTTGATTTGAGCTGCCATTAGTAAATCATCAGGGCTTGTGTACATGATCTAATCTCTCTTAAAGGCAGGTTACATTCGTCATTAATGACAGTGAAATGAAACTGTTTGTCTCTAAAGAGACGGTCTTGGCAGACACATTTGCATCAAACCTCTGTGATATCCTCAGTCTGACAGTATTCTATGTTTTTGTTCTCGTCCACAAAACCTATGAAAAGACCAAAGCCATTTTCCCGGTAGACATTTCGAGTAGCAGGAAAAACACAAGTAAAGCAAATTAAATTAATGTGGCCTCAGTTCCATCAAGTGACCTAGCGAGCCGTGCCACTGAGCCAGCATGCACAATAGCATGACCCTGAAACTAGCTCAACTAAACAGAACGCAGTCGTTTTTAATGTTATCAATTACCCCTGTGCTTTCCCTGCTATGACAGGCCACAATGTCTGCTGAGAAACAGATCTCACTATCTCTCCAGCCTGTATGTAGCTCACAGTCCCAAACCCATTGATTCCTACTGAGGTTGTAAATCTTAAACAAAGATAAATAAATAAAAAATAAATAAATATCTTTAAAGGCTAAACAATTGACTAAAACAGCTGGGAAGTGCAGTCTGTGAGCAGAAATTACTAAAGCAGAAGCAGAAGTAGAAGCAGCAGATTTATCCACATTCACCAGATTTACCCTTAAAACTGAGCCCAAAAAATCTTATTTCATAACATGTGATCCTGTGTAATATACCCTGAAGCAGCCAAAGTTCCTACTCACAATTTTAAACTGTAATTTCCTTTGGCATCTAGTGTTAAACAGCTGAGGTCAAACTATATTCTAAGGTTAAATAAACAGTTCATTATAGTCATAATTTTCCTCCCTCTAAGACATTCAGCACATATTTATAATCTAGGGTTAACACTAATCAAATACCAAACATGTTATATCTGAGATGCTGTTGCACTAAAACAGAAAAGTTATATTAAGACTTTCAGTGCATTGAGCTGAAAACTCAACTCTGCAGGTTGTTTCCTGCCAGTGGAAGCAGATGGCGACAGTGCCCCCATGTGGTCACAGTGGTGACATGCTTATATGATGTTGCTTGGACACTCCTGTGTTTTTAGTGTCTCATAGTGCTTCAGAGGAAGGGTGTGTAATTCACGTTAAGTCTGCCCCTCAGGCTGAGCTTACCCCTGTGTACTATTCCAACAAGTCCAACCATTTAAATGGTAGTATTTTGGTTGGTGCTGGTTAGGGTTAGGGCCATGTTTTGGATTTAGGATCTTGGTATGGGAAGTGAGAGAAATGTGTGCAGCAAAAGAGGAAGTTGTGCCTGAGAGGCTAAGCAGAGGGTGGAAAAAAAAAAAAGTCACTTTTAAGAAGAACCTGTTCTGCCAGTCTTTATCCCTGCTCTCTCAGGGTGTGTCATTCAATCAATACACCAGTCCTCTAGAGGATTGGCTCCTCTGTGCAGACATTATTTTCAAACTTAATTATTCTGATGACTCCCTTTCTTGGTTTCAGGCCCCTAATCGTATGAATTGGACATAACAAATGGGATGAGGTCAGAGGTACCTGCTGAAGAGGCAGTTTAGGTAATGTGCTACTAAATGGGAATCAGAGAGTTACATCACGCAAAGGGCTTGTTCCGGTGCCTTAAGTGGAAACGCATGATGGGAAATTTAGTAGAAATCCTGTGATCCTTTATACACTGTATGATTCATAGGGTCAGTAACACTTAAAATAGTTTTACAGCAGAAAAATGTTATATGTAAGTGTTTTAGCAGGTCAAAATGACTTAATACATTCATTTTGAAAAATATTTTTGCCTTCAGCTCAGAAGGCTAAATTTGCCCAGGCTTGTTGGAAGGCTGTCTATCACAAGAGTACAGAGGGAAAAGGAAAAAGTACTTTTAGCTAGTGTTACGTTACGTTGTGATGTATGTTTCTTATTATTATATTATTATTTTTCCCTAAATTCTGTTGTCACATTGGTGAAGATGTTTTCCTAATTTGCTTGTGTTTTGCCTATTTGTATGTTTTCTTAAAGGTAGGGTCTGAAGGATTTTCCAGTTGCTGTTTGTAAACACACATTCAAATTCGGCCCCTCCTATCAGGCTCAACTCTCCCAGATGTACGGAGCCTGGAGGTATGGAAGAAGGCTTCACAGAAGAGGTTCAGGCAAGGCTCGCGCTGGTGCACGCTCGGACACGGCACCTGCGCTCTCTCATTGGCTGGGGAAATCTCCGCCCAGAAGCGGTCCGAGCTCACAAAAACATCAAAATACAGTTAAAGGGGAGGAGCTCTGCAAACAGAGTCACCACCACACATGAGTAGAAGCCCATAGGTGATGATTAAGCAGGATTTCATTTGTATATGTCTATATTTTGTTTTGTTTGAAAATCCTCCAGATCCTACCTTTAATTTGCAGTGCGCTGAGCTTTCGGGGACACCATATTCATGGTCTCCTACACAAATGCCTGATCACGAGTGTCATAGTTGTGCAGGGTTACTGTATAGCCCAGTTTTAATAGCATAGTCATTCATTAGACGCTGTCCTTAAGAACCCATTTTTTTAATGTCGGGCACATCATGCTTTAATACAAAAATATTCCAGATACTGTACACTGGTTCTCAACATTGTGCAAAATGTAAAAAAAAAAAAAAAAAAAAAAAAAAATATTTACAACTCCCATTAACCAGGAGAAAGTCAAGGACAGAAGAAAAAATGTAAATATTAATGTTGATGAGGTTTAACCTGGAGTCTTAACACTTTGAAATGCTCTGATCAGAGTAAATAAACCTACTTGATCTGAAATGCAAACAAAAAGAAACGGTAAACAAAATGTTTATGTACAGATTGTGCTGAAGGGAATGCAACGTGGATAATGGAATTTTACAATAAAACGTATAAGAACATGCATCAGATTGGAACCAAACAGATTATTTTCAATTGTAAAGTACTTACAAGATTTAAGTTTAACAATAAAGTTGCATTTACTGTGTAGCAGAGTAGAATGTATGTTAAGTAAACAAGTTTCAAGTCCGAGAGAAAAAAGTTACAACCACACATGTTCAGGTTGATAACTGAGGTTAAGTAGCTGGAATGTATTTTTTTCCATAGACATATTGCCTTGTTCACAATGTTTCATGAATGTTTTCCAGTTTTCGTCCATTAAAAAGTGCACTGCTCTCAGACATGCATACATGGCTATGAGATGAACCTGGTCCTCTGATACCCAAACTCTCGACCGTCCCATTCACATCTTATACAAAAAACTCCTCAGCAAGTCCAGCAGCAACAAGTGTTCTGTTAGTAATTACAAAGTCTTTCATTTCAGAGCCACTGTGTCGGTCTGTTTTCATTTCATTTGAAGGAGCTTCATCTTGCTTCCTAAAAAAGAAAAAAAACCAAAAAGAACAATTAGCTGTTGAAAGACCTTTGAAAGTGAACACTTAATGACAGAGCAACACTTACCCAGGCCTTTGAGAAATTTGTTCACACCACTTGGCTCTGGCTCAGGGTATGAATCCAGATACTCAGCCACTCTGACCTCAAAGAGACCTGGGAGATAATAGGTAGTGTTGAGCCACTGAGACAGAAAGTGTTCAGAATAAAATATCTAACTTTAAATAAAAGTTTAGATTCTCTTCAAATTTTTCATGTTTCATTAATCTGGTATTTCAAATTTATTGTTTTTAGGTCAGTGCATGCTGTTGAAGAGAAACTTTAATATTTTCCTATGTTGTTGTGTGTAAGTGACCAATGGAGACAACAATTTTTGAAATTGGTCCAGTATTGAAAGAGACAGCATCAGCAGCATCAACAACAGGCAACTGTGCACTGTCGATTTCTGTCCACTTAAAGTTCCTGTTTTTGCCACTGACAGGCTCAGATTGTCATCAACACAAGAAACTGTTCCTGAAACTCCTCTCTCCAACTCTCACTAATGTTTCCACCTTTGTCTTCCTGCAACAAGTGACCTCTCTCGTGAGAACAAGATTTCTCCTTGAGTGAGGCTTGGTTACACATGGTAATAAACAGACTGGATCAAGGGAAAGGTAAGGAAAAACTTTCCATTTCTCTGTAGGGTCCTTTCTGTAATGTTGTCTGCCTGTCTATATCTGATAATGTTAGCCTGTCAGTGGCAAAAATAAGCACTTTTAGTGCAGGTGAATTGATGGTGCACAATTGTCTGTAGGGATTGCATTGCAGCCTGTTTTACTGCTGCAGCACTCTCTCATTACTGGACCAATTTAAAAAATTGTTACCATTAGTCACAAAAACCTGAGAATATAGGATCCAGGTTGGACCAGAGTTTAACTTAAATACCTTCCTTCAACTAAAGTCACATGTCTGATTTGGTATGATTGATTAAACAGTGCAACTTAATCATTTAAAAAACGATCATCAGATTATTTTGTGAAAAGCTCTGGCACATTGTCTATACATTGTTACCTGGGGGGAAAATGAAAGGTGGGCGCTATGCTTTCAACACTGTCCCAATATCAGTGAAAAACGCATTATTAGTGTAATGCAGAGCAGCAGCGATTAGCTAGCTGTTTGGGATACACACACAGGGACTCGCATGCATGGCCAGCACAGCTTTCACAGCGACACACAGATTACAACACAGAGGTAGTGTGACTTCATTCTCTGCTCAGGATGCCATTACTCCACCATATCTTTACATAGCAATTTGTGTTGTGCTGCTATATTAATGCTGTTTAAGTCTTTAAGTAGCATTGAAATCTGAAGGTATCAAAGATTCATGTATAAAGTTTAATCCTCATATTGACTTGAAGGAAAAGTACCAGTGAATGTTTATTTTTCTTCCTATTGATTTCATTATTATAAAAAAGTAGTTATTCTGTCAGAACTGAGTGTAAATATTTTTTTTTAATCTTTTAAGATCTCATAAGTGACCCTTAATGAATACAGAGAGAATAGTTAATCTTGGACAAGATAATTAGCTATTTATAAGTCTTAATGTTTTTTTTTTTTTTAACGACTCAACCCTTATGACTATTGGTCTGCTGCATCACCACAATTTTACCTCTTCCTCCTCCCTTGCGCAGCTCTTTGTCCTGAATGAAGCCGGCAAACATCTGAGTGTCCATGAAGAGCTGTAGGAACTGGCGGACTCCACGGGAAGGGTGTGATTTTCGAAAACTGTCTCGCTGGAGCTCCCGGCTGCCATTGGAGGACTCAACCATGTGGAGAGGATAGTGGCCCACCAGCTCCACGAAGAACCGTGCAAAACCCTCCGACACCAGAGAGCTCAGGTCAGCCTGCTGACCTGGACAAGCCACACGTTGGATGAAGATAAAAGGGTTAACTAAACCACCTAAATAGGCCATCAGTTACCATCTGACTACAGTTTTAACTGCCCAGTTTAAAAAAAACAGAATAAACTAAAGACTTGGCAGCAGTCAGTAGGTCATCAGAGGTCCAGGTGTGTAGTGCAGCTGTCAATTGCAAGCTACTATCATTATAAACAAATAGAAAAAAAGTGATGCATTGTTGAACATTGTTTGGAGCATGTAATCTCTGTAATATACCAACCTCCACTACTGTCTCCATCCTCCTGTCTCAGGATGTCTTCCCTCTCCTCCAGGATCTGCTGCAACGCTGCCTGCAGTTTACTGGGCAGGATGCAGTCTTCATCACCCAGCTGTCACACGTCACAGGAAAAATCAACAACAGTCACATGATGCCATTTACAAACACATCTCAACTGTCCTGCACACTGTTGCAACAAATTTTTCTGATGTTTTTGGCCTCAGTGGAAATGTGTTCCCTGTGTTCTGATCATGTTTGGCCAATTTGTTCTGATGAATGAACAGCTATACATTTTTTTTGGTTTTTGAATGACGTTTTGTGCTGTGATACACAAATGAGTTTTAAATCTGGTGGTATAAAAAAATAAAGACCTAATGCTGTTATGCACTAAAGGCAGTTAATGTTTGAATGGCAAGTCAATCACTGCACATCCCATTAGCTTGTAGTTAATAGAGAAAGAGACTGCGCCTGAACAAAGATTAAGCTCACTAAATTAAATGTCAAATTAAAACAGACACAAATATGAACACAACAAAACAAACAAGTATATCATTAATTGAACAGACAGAGTGATTAGTTTTGACTGACAAACCTCAGCTCTGAATTAGCAGCTAAACAGCCTTCCTGTTTGCGCCATGACACAATTCAGGTCTGGGTTTACATCCTGTATAGTTTTATCTCTGCAGCGCTTGTGGGTGTTACAGTTTCTTGTCTCTGTCACCCTCAAAACATTCTGCAAGGGACAAGTGTAGGCAAAGCCATCTTTCCCCAGTGGGACCACACCTATCATTCCCTTTATACAGTGTTATGTGTACACACCTGAACGACAAACTTGTCTGCACACAGATCCACTATGAGCACCTGGGAAGACAGCAAGAAGAAAGAGAGACAGTTACAGACTGGAGGAGTTGACTATTTCACAACATGAGTGGTGGAGGTGGAGTGAGCCTGAGCAACAGTTTCTTCTGGGTGTTCCTCCACCACTCCCGAGACACAGTGGAAGCTACCATGCAGCCCTTACTACTCCTGTTGTGATTCATTCACAATATGTTTTAAATATATAGAGCCAAAAGAGGGTACTTAAACCATTATACCAAGAATCCCACACATTTTTATCAATCAACTTTCAAAACTTTTCCATAATATCTTACCACATTCCCTTACCACATTCCCATGACTTTAAGTAGTTTAAAATAGGATATATAGGACAGGACATATATCATTGGACATGCACTTCCCAGGCATTTGCTGATATGCAAACTGCTAGTGCTTACTAACTTAACTCGCTCACATTCCCACTGCCAACGAGCTGCATATGCCAATAGACCAGACCTGCACATACGGGTAATTTACAAAAGGTCAAACCACGGCCAATTTGGGGGAAAGAAAAGTAAAGAAAATATAGAGTCTAAAAATTGTTTTGCTTGTGATACATTAATAAACAAGGGTCTATGTTTGGATCACAACACCTAGTGATGCAATCAAATCAGTATATTTGGTTGAATGACCAGGTATCACTATGCGAAGTACTGTCTGTAAATAACCAACCTGTTAATGGTCACCTGTTAAATCTAGTTGAGATTGAGATCGAGAAGACAGTCTGATGCTGCTACACTGTATGACTGCAGCGGCCCCTCACTCAAGCTAGCCTTAGCTATCCATCCGTAGTAACTGTCACCAGCATCATTTAGACCAGTGGGTTCCAACTGGTCCAGCCACAGGGTCCAGATTTCACCTTAGTCATTAGTTCAAGGTCCACACAGTTTAAAACATTTAGCATCATACTTGATTAAGTCACCACACATCAGCTTTTTTGCATTTTCCGGTTTCTCTCCTGACATGACAGCGCGTTTCTTTCCCCTAAAAGGAGGTACAGCCTTGGCAATGACACAGTGCTGGTCTGGTCCATGGTTATCATGTGATACTAGTGGCATTTAAACAGCAGCACAGCACTAGATTTTAAAAAAAGCACTACAAGGAACATATTTTACATAACATTTGACATGTTCTGGGATTTTTATGAGCATATTTTTTTTAAAAAAATAGTCACACCAATGTGTATTCAACACTTTTCCAAAACATTCAGTTAAATCTAAACCATCTCTAAGCCTGGAAAACAGTTTTTTAAAATTGTATATCTTTTCCAGGAATTGTATGTCTGGTTCTAGATGAACCAGTCTATTTAAAATGCAAATTAGACAATAATTTTAAAACATTTAAACAGAATTCTGACCGACCTCCTCGATGGGCAGCTCCAGCACCTCTGGCAGGCAGGGTGCCAACACCCCAATAAGGAACGGGGTGGGGGAGCAGCTGATGTCCAGCATGCTGGCCGGTAGCACAGGCACAAAGGTATGCTGCCAGGTGAAGGGGTACAGCAGTGCCAGCACTGCATGGCTACACCGAGACAGCACGCTACAGTCAACAGAGGGGAGTGAAAAGATTATAGACAAAACACTACTCAGTTCTCACACAGATCATATGACACAAGGATATCAATCAAAGCTCCCTGAAAATAGCGTGGTCACGCTATTATTCATCTTTTCCAGCACATTTTCAAAGTGACCAACTGTAAGAGCTTTCAGCAAATAGCTCTTGTGTAGTAAATAATTCTCCCAGGAGGCAACTGATCTATGCAAATACTTTGTGCAGTATCTGCTACTGCCATTACTGATGACACACCTTGTCCCTTTAAAAACTACTGTTATTATACTCAGCAAAAAGCATACCCTGAATCCTATCTGCTATCACTTAATATTGAATCAACTGCTAGATAATTCTATTTCTGATACCCTTTTTAATCTGTTTTATATCACTCTGTTGTAACATAGAAACTGCCTTAACATGCTGCTAACTCCATCGCAACCTTTTAATTCTCAATCAAAGCATAGCATTTAACATCGCTGGTATTGGCTTGTTATAAGTATCAGCATATCTCTTTGTTTTTAAACATTATTTTTTACGCATTTTGCCTTCAATGATAGGACAGCTGTAGATAGACAGGAAAGGTGAGAGAAAGAGGGATGACATGCAGGTGAACTAGAGGTCGCCCCGTATCAGCGTAAATGTTGGCAGATATGCAAAAAGGAAATACTTTTCCTGTAGCCTGCATTTTATGTATATATGGCAGTTAACATGACTCACATTTTATATAGTTGTTGTTTATATGTTTTTATTCTGTCATTATGATAAATACAGACACAATTTGAAGTTAATTATTCTACTGAGAATTATCCTACCAAGTAACAACCAGCTTGGGATGGTTGTTGTTGTGGCCCTGTAGAGCCCACTGAGACACTGCAAGTGATACTGGCCTGTACAAATAAACATGCCTTGACTTGCAATTGGAACTTTGCCATGGCTTAGCACTGAGGCCAAGGTACACACAGATAAATGACACTGACGCTGAGTCTGTATGATGTAATCAAGCATCAGCAATAGCTGGCACACATCCAGGTGGAGTCTAATTTAATAATATTGCTGATTCCACTATTTTTGAAATGCTGCTGTATATCACCTTTATATATACCCATGGTTAAGTGGTCTTGCAGTGTTTTGTGATACCACAGCAGTACCTGAGTTTGTCAGCGACGAAGATGACCCTCCTCTCAAGCAGAAGGGAGGCAAACACCTGCAGGAGATTCCCCACACTGAGACACTGCAGCAGACTGTCAAAGTCCACGTGCTCCAGTCTAGAGTCCACTGGTCGACACAAAGTCAGTACCTGGCAATGCGACAAGAGCACACAGAGTCAGGCTGAGTGTAAATAAATACAGTGGTATAACTTGTAGCTGTTTACACTAGCTGATCCACACTGACTGTTGGCTGAGTGCCTGGCCGGAGAGCGATGCGTCGCTTTGGCTTGACTGTTTTAAACATGCACTCCGGTCACAAACTTTCTCAATATACAGCTAAAGAGTAAACTTAAATATGATTTTGAAAAGATTTGAGGTGAGAAATAGACAATGCAGTAACAGAATCTTGATTCATATTTGATCAGTGCTGCCTAGTTTGACAGTTTGGCTGCAGTTAATGAGCAGTGACTGACATGATTGACAGCTGGCCTGTGATTGGCTCACATCACAGGCTAGATTTTTCTAAAGCCTGAAAACAGAGTCAATCAAAGGTGCATAATTCTGGTGTTCTCTCAGACCATTTGAACTGCAATATGCTCAAAGGTTATTATGGGATTTTTACCCAATGATGTCAACCCAAATTTAAGAGCCACTATCTGTTGAAAGAGAAAATGTAGTGATTTGGAAGGAGTCATGACTTCACTTCTTTTGAGTCTGCAAATAGTAATGACTAAATTGATATTGTTGATTGTTATAATATACATAGCTGTCCCAACATGAACCTCTCAAAGCTGAAATAGCTGTGCCTATTGTGTGCCGATAACCTCCCCTTCTGAGTCATTCTGAGTCTGCAGAGAGGAGTGGTTAGGAGGAACAAAACTACTAATTAACATTTCCTCCTTTGGTTTCAGGGTTACCTCATTCCCAGAGCCAGGGAGGAAGCTCTTGACGGTGACTGTGCGTCCAGGGGCTGGAAAAGGGGCCTCCATCACGCTACGCATAAAAGGATAAACCAGCGCTGGGGAAATCTCCCTGCGCCTCTCCACCTCCTCCAAAATCTGGACAGACAGAGATACCAAAAATTACTGTGTCCTGAAAAAACTTGTGTTGATTAAAGTGTAAACAATAGAACAGAGCCAAGATGCAGCTCTGCATGTAAATGAAGTTTTCCTCCTGGCCACATTCTCACTTGCTGTTTGTAAATTTCACTGCTGTTTGTAAATTTCACACGGCCAACTGGAAAATGGGTGTGACGCAGATGCATGCATATAATTCCTTTTTTTGAAAAACACACCCAGGGATTACTCAAAATTATCTTTTAGAGTAGCCTCATTCCATCCTAATACACACAAGGAGTTGACAGCAGCTTTCACACACTTGAAGAGGATTCCCACTGAACTTTAGCAAATCCATCCAAATCTCCCTATGAAGGCTTCTATCGGCAGAAACAAGAGAGCAGACGCACTGTATAGTTGCCTTACCTTCGCAAAGAGGTTGAAACAGCCTAGTTTGCTGACAACACAGTGCACCTCAGGAAGCCTCTTCCCTTTTCCAATGGGCTTAAAGACACATACAGTTTCATGTCATAAAGTGGGTAACAACAGAGCTACATATGTCAAAAAAAAAACATCAAACA